ACAGATTCCAAATTAGGGAAGTCCAAGTTAGTGAAGCTTTACCATATTGTACCTTACTTTGTTTCATTTTGCTTGGTATTCATATGCATCTGGGATTTGACAAAGCAGGCACTAGAAAATATGAATGTGCCTAACATGTACCAGTTTTTATGGACCTACTAAATTTAAAAAAATTTCTTTTTTTTTTTTTTTTTAAACGGAGTCTTGCTCTGTCACCCAGGCTGGAGTGCAGTGACACGATCTTGGCTCACTGCAACCTCTGCCTCCCAGGTTCAAGTGATTCTCCTGCCTTAGCCTCCGGAGTACCTGGGATTACAGGCATGCCCCACCACACCCAGCTAATTATTCTACTTTTAGTAGAAACGGGGTTTCACCATGTTGACCAGGATGTTCTCGACCTCCTGACCTCAGGTGATCCACCCCCTTCAGCCTCCCAAAGCCCTGAGATTACAGGTGTGACCCACCGCACCCAGCTAAAAAAAATGCTTAATGTTATTTATGATTTATAATCATAAATGTTTTTAAACTATAAAAATCAAATTATTTGCCTTATTACCTTTGGTGCTTGTCTTAGTCCATTCAGACTATTATAATAAAATAGCATAAACTAGGTAGCTTATAAATAACAGAAATTTAGTTCTCACAGTGGAGCTCAAGATCAAGGTGGCAGCAGTTTGATGTCTATTGAGGGCCCACTTTCTGTTCACAGATAGTGCCTTCTAACTGTGTCCTCACATGGCAGAAGGGGCAAGTCAGCTTTCTGAAGCCTCTTTTATAAAGGAATTCATCTCATTTAAGAACACTCCACCCTCAGACATAATCATCTCCCAAAATCTACTAATATCATCATCTTGGGGGTTAGGATTTCAACATATGAGTTTTGTTGGGAACACAAACATTCAGACCATAGCAATGATGCTACTAAGGTTTAAATCACAGGGATCCCAGAAGATTGCTTGGTTTTTGTTTTTTTTTTTTCATTTTATTTTACTTTTTTGAGATGGAGTCTCCCTCTGTCACCCATGCTGCAGTGCAGTGGCGTAATTTCGGCTCACTGCAACCTCCACCTCCCCAGTTCAAATGATTCTTGTGCCTCAGCCTCCTGAGCAGCTGTGATTACAGGCAACAGCACCATGGCTGGCTAATTTTTGTATTTTTAGTAGAGACAGCGTTTCACCATGATGGCCAAGCTGTCTCCAACTCCTGACCTCAGGTGATCTACCTGCCTCGGCCTCCCAAAGTGCTGGGATTACAGGTATGAGCCACCGTGGCCGGCCTCTTATTTTAATTACATAAAATTAAGATATGAACAATTATATGTAATGGGACACCAGTGGCTGGTGTGAAAGGGGAATGGAGGTAGGAAAGGAGGACTCTGCTTGTGTTTTCTTCATTCTAATGTTAGAATCATGGTTAATGCAGTAATTTCCTTATAATATTCCCACTCTAGAAACGTGCTTACAAGAGCTATGTTCGAGCCCTCCCTCTACTGAAGAAAATGGGGATCAATTCCATTCTCCTCCGAAAAAGCATTGGTGCCCTTGAGGTGGCCTGTGGCATCGTCATGACCCTTGTGCCCGGGCGTCCCAAAGATGTGGCCAACTTCTTCCTACTCTTGCTGGTGTTGGCTGTGCTCTTCTTCCACCAGCTTGTCGGTGATCCTCTCAAACGCTACGCCCATGCTCTGGTATTTGGAATCCTGCTCACCTGCCGCCTGCTGATTGCCCGCAAGCCTGAAGACCGGTCTTCTGAGAAGAAGCCCTCGCCAGGGAATGCTGAGGAGCAACCCTCCTTATATGAGAAGGCCCCTCAGGGCAAAGTGAAGGTGTCATAGGAAAGTGGAAGTGCAAAGAGTGGACCTTCCAGGCAGTTGCGTCTACGACACCAGGAAGATGTCAGTGTGTGTTTCTCATTCGATTTATTTATCTTGGGGAAGGGGAAAAATGTAAACTGCAAGTTAATGACCCTATTGGCTTGTGTACATCTATATGCTAAAATGACTTCCCCACTTGACATTTGTGCACCACCTGTAATCACTCTGGGGCAACTCTCACATCTTGCTGCATGTACATGTATACGGCTACTATTGAAGTGTAATTGTGAGATGGACTCCAGCAAGCATGTGATTGTGAGATTGTGTATGGGAAAATGTATTTAACTACTCTGTGTGTGTGTACACATGCACAAACGCATGTGCAGAGCAGGCTCTGATCTTGAACTAATCCTGCACAGGCATCCTTCCCTTTATAGATTGATTCCAGCAAAGGCAGAATCAAACAAATTTCCAATAAAGAGAATCCTGATTTAAAACAAGTCATGTATTCCCATGGCCGGGAATCTCTCCACAGATGCTGAAAACTTAAAACTCACTACTTTAGAGAAAAAAAATTCAATTTGAAACACCGAGTTATGCATAAAATTAATTAGGCTCTATTCCAACAGTTTAAAATTTAAATAGTTATATTGAGTTTAATTAAAACAAGGGATGCATGCAGTTAAATTGATAGTTTAATTCTTCAAGTGCTAATACAGGAAGTTTCACCTTGCCTTTGTCTGAGCCACACCTACTAAACCCCTTTACTCACAGTTTGAAACTGAAGCAGTAAACTTGTTTCCTGACATCTTCTTCAGATTGTCTTAAGCCCAAAGTTGCCTCACTTCCACTATTCTCAGCAGCCAACCAGGATTTGGCAGCTGCTCCACTGCTAGGGTCGAGGAAACAGAATCAGTCTTGTTAGAAGTCTGTGAGTCTCAAACTTTACCTGTTCTTTGCAATCATCCAAAATTTGACAAAGAAGCTATATTCAGTGTTTCCTTGCCAAACAAATTTACTACTCTTATTGATTCTTCACTGAGGTTTGCTAGTGTAAGCAGAGTTCCAAGTCACCCCTAGAGTTGTCTCTACACTTCTTTATCATTCCAGTGGGTGGAGTTTAGCTGGGGGAAGGACATTTCATAAGGGTTAGTTGGATTGAGCAGTATAAACATTTGCTTTTTTCATTACGTACTGTTGTTTTTCCTTGTTAGATGTGCTTTGGTGGTTTAATATTATTGTGCCAGGGATGGGGAAATGGGTGGGGGGTGTGTGTGGGAAGAGTACTTATTACTGTATTTTCTTCGGTGTCATTGTTCTTGGTAATTGATACCTCTCTGTTTTATTTCTCTCATTCTTTCAAAATAAAACTTTTTGAAATTTGGAGGAAACTGTCTGGACAAGTACTGAAAATCTGGAAATTAAGGATCATATCAAAGGATTCAGCCTCTCTTTTTCTGAGTCTGGATGAAGGAAGAGAGGAAAGAGAAGAGTATAATCACTTAATATGCTAATGAAGTTGCCAACTTTCTGATTTCTTTTTTTTTTCTTTGAGACATGATCTTGCTCTGTTGCCCAGGCTGTAGTGCAGTGGTGTGATCACAGCTCACTGCATCAGTCTGCCAGGTTCAAGTGTTCCTCCCACCTCAACCTCCTGAATAGCTGGGACTATGGCATATGCCACCATGTCCGGCTAATTTTGTATTTTTTGTAGAGACGGGGTTTTGCAATAGTGCCTAGTCTGGCCTCAGACCCCTGGGCCCAAGCAATCTGTTTGCCCCGGCATCCCAAAGTGCTGGGATTACAGGTGGGAGCCATCTCACCTGGCCTAACTTTCCAATTTCATTTACGTTCCCCCACACTTTTGTGATGTTAGCACACAAGACAGAAAGCCACATAATTAGGATCCCAATAAAATTTCCAGGTTTTGGGAGTTTTGCTTTATTAGGTGATGCCAAGGGAAGTTAGAAAAATGATTTCAGAGAAAATTGAAGATATATTAAAGGTGAATCACTAGCTATCACTACATATATATATATATATATATGTCCACAAATTAGTACAAGTTGCACTGCCTCAGACTTGTCACATTCGGCAAGATATTTCACCACTCTAGTTTCATCATCTACAAAAAGAAGGGTGTTGAAGCTTTAAATTCCCTTCTAATTTACATTTCTTTGAGCCTATGAAACATGATTAAAAGCATGAAAAATAATTCAAGAAATTTTCTTTTTTTTCAAGAAATTTTCAATTTTATTAAAGAAGAGCATTTATCAGAAAAAATGGAAGAGTCTCAGTTGTCATGCATGATTAAATAAGAGTTTGTGAAACTACTCTGAAAACCATATATGATGTGGTAAATAATTATTTTTGCTGTGTGCTTTCCCAAATACATAAACTTAATTTTTGATAATTCATCTCTAAGACTGCAGTTCCCCCCAACTAGTTTACCTGAAGTTTATAGGTATGTTTTGGTCTCAACAACTCAGTGAGTCATTAAATTTATATCTTTTCTCTCTTATTCCTACTCTAATAAGAGATTAAATTAGAGACTAAGCTGAGAGCTCAGACTAAACCCTTGTTGCTGTTTTAAAGCCAGTTTCTTTAAGGTCAATTAACTTCTCATGGTTAGGAATAGTTACATGTTGACAGCCAGTTTTCTAGAAAACCTTGGAGAATATCTCTACTGATTCTCGGTAAAAGGAGGGCAGATCCAGCTTTTCTTTCCTCCCACGCCCTAGGTTCACATGGGGAAAGCGACAGGCTCTTTGACTTAAGTCTCAGCCAGGGAGAAGCCACCTTTATTGTGAAGTTTGCGGTTTCACATTTTCCTACAAGGTCCCGACATTTGGGGTCAGCGTAGGCAAAATAATCATTATAACTGATCATGCTAAATTCAAGAATGGAGACCTGAATTGTCCCATCACACGCATAATGACGAATGCGAACATTCCTAGCCCAGTGGGAACGCCAGCCAATCAGTTCACTCCAGCAGCAACGGCCCACTCGCTGCGCGCCGCCTAGGCCCCAGGTAGGTGGGGCAATCCGCTCTCCGTAATTGGGTATACGTCAGCGTCGGCGCGCGCGCCACCTCCCGCCACAGAGCCACCTCCCGCCACCTCTAGCCAGTCAGGCTTCAGCTGAGTGCGTAGCTCCGCCCAGCCGCCGCTTGGGTCTGCGAGGAAGCGCATGCGTGCGGGTGGAGTCCGCTTTGAATTCCGGAGGCGGTATTCGGTCGTCAGAGGCCTCTGCGGGTGTTTGTCCAGTGTGTCAGGTGAGAAGGTACTTCTAAACACCGCGCGAAATAGGGGAGAAGATAATTTTTTAATTTTTGAGGGTGGGACTATCCTGCAAGATGTGGCTGTGGTCCCGTTTTCCGTAGCCAATTTCGCTTCCAGCTGGGGCAGGGTGTGAAAGGGATCCTTGGGAAGCGCTGGGATGGTTCAACTGGGTGGGGTCAGAAGCCGCTCCCTCGCCCTTCTTTCCTGGGACCCTAGGAAACGACTTGGCACCTATAATCTCCCACTGGGTTGGACATACATAGTCCTCTTCTGATCTGGCCTCATCTGTTCCAGGGAGGTGGGATTGAGTAGGTGTCATTCCGACCATTCCTTTCGTTTTTCGTTTGAAGCCAAAAACTTAGAACTCATTCTTGGTTACTCTTCCCTTTTCCCTACATCCAATTCTTTTATCACGGCCCGCTCTGTCTACTTCCAAAACAGCACTAATCAAATCATTTTCCACCTCTACACCCTAGGCCTAGTGCAGGCTACATTCATCCCTTTACTGGACTTCTCTAACAGTCTTTTATTTGGTTTATTGCCGCTACTTGACCCCTAACATCCTCGTCTCTGCACTGCAGCTAAAATGATCTTCAAACACAAATCAGATGGTATTGCTCCCTTCTCCAGCCTTTCCCCCTTCCCCTATGTTTTCCCAAGACATTTAAAATCCAAACTCCTTACTCTGGCCTGCAAATCCCAGTGTGATCTATCGAGTCCCTGGCTACGTTCTGACTTCATCACTTATTATCTTTTACCTCTTTCATTCCACTCCCTCCAGACTGATGTTGCTACTCTTTCTTTTTCGATTTCTTTCCTTCCTTCCCTTTCTTTCCTTTCTCTTTCTTTCTTTCTTTCTCTCTCTCTCTCTCTCTCTCTTTCCTTTTCTTCTTTCTTTCTTTCCTTCTTCCTTCCTTCCCTTCGGGTTGGGTGTGGTTGCTCTCGACTCTAATCCCAGCACTTTGGGAGGAAGCTGAGGCAGGTATGGATCACTTGAGGTCAGGAATTCGAGACCAACCTGGCCAATATGGGGCAACCCCTTCTCTACTAAAATACTACAGTTAGCTGGGCGTGGTGTCATGCGTCTTCTTCTTCAGTCTAACGCTCTCCCAACTGAGCTATTTCGGCCACCGGCATGTGCCTATAATTCTGGCCACTGGAGAGACCGAGGCAGGAGAATCCCTTGAACCCGGGAGGTGGAGGTTGCAGTGAGCTGATCAGGCCACTGCACTCCAGCCTGGGTGAGGAATGAACTCTGTCTCAAAAAAAAAAAAA